TTCGGAGCAAGTTCCTATCGAAATTACCAATCGCACCACCCTAGTAGCGATAGCCATACAAACCGCACAAATAATACAATATCCAAAAAAATTGTGCTGATGTGCTGAACATGATTCGGGTGTTCTACGTTCCAAAATTTAATTAAACTTATATAGTTCAATGATTGATTCAATCATTTGATTTTATATCATTTCTTTTATCTCACAAATGACAACAATAACTAAAAGCATTAAAAAAATGAATAAATTTTGGTGGAGCACATATACAATTTATTTCAATCAATCAATTGTAAGAATGATTCATTATTCGCTGATTTATACTTTCGAAAATAAATAAATAAATAAATAAAGGGTCAAATGATAATAATAAACATGATTATATCGCGGTACGTTCGTTGATCGTTGCAGTTTGATGAAAAAGGAATTTTGTTTTCATTTCAAAAATATTCACTGCTTTCATAAACCGATGGGCAATTCTTTGCGGCAATTACTTGATATGCGTTATTTGTTCCAACTTTGTTCCATATATGACTGCTTCGATCGTTCCAAACGTGAATTATCGTTGAATTCATCGACAATTCCAGTGTTTCGTTCAATTTACCAACATCAAAATACATCATATAATCTCCCCATGGAATTGGATGGAAGTTTTCTTTGCTTTTCAACTCTAAGCCGTTACAAGTTCTCCTCGTCCACAGCGATCGTTGATCGGTTTTACAAATTTCCGCACAGGTTTGTGTAAGTATCTTCGGTCCATTTCCAATGAAATCGCTGCCATCGAAATTTCTTGTCAATTGCCTGGATCAAGCAAATTAAAAAGCATCATTAAATTAAATTTCACAAAAAATTGATTGCGAACTTATTGAAAATTCTAAAAAAACTTTACTCTAAATATCTCCGTGCAATTTCCCATCCGACGCCGTTGTTCTTCAAGTGAATAATGCTGGTTGCAAGCACTGTACCCCAATCATCGACGACAAAATCTTCGCCCAAATCGTCAAAGTTCTTTTGCACAACTACATCCAAGTCCAAATAAAACCCGCCAAATTTGTACAACGTTAGTGCTCTCAAATAGTCGGACATGTGTTCATATAAGTAGTTTGATTGAAAAAGCTTATTGGTTTTGCTCCAATCTTCGACGGGAGTGTCCATTGAATATTGCCATAAATTCATGTTTCGAAAATGAATATTTTCATATTTCCACAGTGTGTCGATGTATGGTGGTAGATTTTCATGGTCATTTATGCCAACCGGTGAAGCAAATATGACGAAAATATCGCGATTTGGATTCAAACGTGCGGCTGACTCAATCGCACACGCTTGTCTAGAAAAACGATAAAAGAAACGATCAATCAACCATAATTTTAAACTGAGAACGGTCACCAAACGTACTTGGCATTTAACTTGGCACTGCCGGTTGGATTGCATGATGTTTCATGGAAAAAAATCGAATTACCAATTTTCGGCTGTTTTTCTGCATCCAAAATGTCCACAAAATATTTTATCGCATTTTGTACGTCATTGTTTGAAACCAACTTTGAATATTTGTAACACGGAATTTTATTGAAATTATTATTATTATTATTATTATTGAAAATAAATGTACTCATGAAAAAACACAATATAAACACGCACAATAAAATAAATAAAAATTTCCGACGAAAATAAGCGACGAATTGCGCTTGTCTCTGATGCATTTCGATGAAATACTTTCCGTTCAAATTCTCTAAAAAAAAAGTGAAGAAAAAAGTCATTTTTAAAAAAATATTCATTGAATTTTTGTTGAAAAACGTCATTTTGAATTTTTGATTTACAAAAACATATTTTATACGACCAGCTGACCAGCATTTTTTTAAACATTTTTCAAAAAAGACGTACTGAAAGGAGAGAGGAGAAGGGAGAAGCGAGAGAGAAGAGAAGGAGAGAGTTTTGAATGAGATGTGAGTAAAGGATCTCAATCATAATCGATGTTGTTGTTATTATTCATAGAATAACTTTGGTTAAAAGCTGTAAGTGACGCCAGACAGACGCGTTGCACAAAATCAATTTGTTTCAAATGGTAGTAATCGTCAAACGGTTACATTTACTTACATTTCAGGATGATGGTGCAACCTTTTGCTCTGCCATTGAATTTTATGAATTTAAAATAGCAAAAATATTAGAGAATTTCGCTATAATTTAATTATGCAATACGATTTGGGTTTTTCGCTTAATAATAATCGGAACTGTTCACAAAAACAGCACTGAAGGTCACTTAATATGACATTACTTGTGTACTTTTAGCATAATTTAAATGTAAAAATGGAAAACTAATAAAAATCTTAAATAATTGAGGTATCAAACACGGAATTAAATTCAACTCTTGTACTCCAATTGATTTCACTTTCAGAGCTATAATGTCGTTCATTCACTGTCTCACATATGACTGATTTCACTTTCTCTTTGTTTGTGACATGAAACGTTATATGGAAACCAAATGACGTAATCGTCTACTATGCGCAGAGCTCTGCGGCCAATATTGTGTTGAGATACTTCTTCATTCAGCTCTAGTATTGATATTAGTCGACGTGCTTTAACTAGTAAGCGGATAACTTGTCAATACGGAAGCGGCTTCGAAGGCATACACTTTTTATCCGATGCTATCACGCAGCTATGACAATAGCTGCGGTCCTCGATGAGCCATTTACGCGTAGCAAGCAAAAAGCTTGCGGATCAGATACACAAGTATACCCAAAAATAAACTACGAAAAAAAGAAAAAAAATGATGATAGGTCATGCAAAAGAAAACATATTCAATTGTATAAGTGATATCAATTTAATTGAGAGAAAGAACACAAATAAGAAACAAAATCGGACGGTTTTTTGTTTGAATCAATCTCGGTGTATTTGGCTGAATTCTTATTAACTAACTACTTGTCATCATTTTTACTTAACAAAATGTATTTTTTACACTACATTACGATAACATTGGATGCCGGTCCATTCGAACGTCTGGAAAATTAAGTCACTGAACCGACAAAGCATAGAATTCGTTGAATTCAAATCGACAAAAGATCAGCGACACAAAGTGACAAACTCATTCACCATAAATAACACATTTAATAAAGCAAAGATGGTATTAGAAGTGTGTGTCAATAACGTACCGAAATTATGCCCAAACTGTCACACTGCTAGCGCCACGACGGAATTCAATGTTATCTACACTAAGTTGCCGCCAAATACTGAAAAGACTTTTGCTCAGCTGCAATCAACGGACTGGAACTCCATAGTTGTCCGTAGTGGCGCTAATAGTGCTCAGAGTTTTGCATTTTATACAGTCTCTTATGGGGCATAATTTCGGTGTTATCAATAAGGATAAATGTTACAATTAAAATAATGATACACGAAGTTGTCCAAATTACACATGAACGCATGTATCCATCTTTAAAAAATAAAAAATGAACATTTATTTTATCTCAAAAGAATTGTCGGAAATTAGTGAATTATGAAGATATTCGCTTACTGATTTCCGAAGGTAATCGGTTTGTACTGGTTTGTATCGGAGTTCGGATTACTATCGGCGTATTTACGATTGCATTTGCACATTGAACTGGAACTGATGTTACAACCTAATAGCAAAACAATCACGTGGAAATTTAGTCAATCATTATGATACTTCTGCGTATTATATTTGGGTCTTCATATCTTCTTCATTGGATCTTAGAAATGATAGATTTACTCACATTGCCACGTAAATGTTCCAGTGCATACGATTGATTTCGATTTATTATGACTTCGTTTTGAACATTGTGATTATTTAACATGAAATTGGAAGAAATTGTTAGTACTGTGCATAATTAAAGAAAAATAAATGTTAATAAAATTACCTGGCCTACATTCATGGGGTGTAATTGGAATAAAAGTGGCCTCGGGTTGTGAATTTGTCGGTTCACGTGAATTTTGGACTAACGCAGGGTTCGGGAATAGTGTGTACTATGATGATAATTAAGACCAAATTATGTGTACAAATAGTTATATATGGTACACTTATATTTACTCACATAGTCAGGTGGCGGTGCGGTTGGATCTAGTGCATTTCGATTTGAAACACATGTTTGTTGATTTTCTTCTCCGATGGCCATGATTTGGAAACAGTTAATCTCTAAACATGAAAATAAATCAACTCAATAGATTAAAAAGAGCGAAAGGTTTCACACAAAATATACACACAAAATGAATTATATTAATACGGAGTTATCTTAAATTTAATATTAATTTATTGACTGTAGGAAATCAACTCATTTAAATAATCATAGGTGTTTACGGAAAATAATTCAGAGGGTTGATTTAAAAGAATGTTAATTTTTGATAATGAATATCTCTGATTATCGATTTTCATTGTGGAGCGTACATGCGTGCGGCAACGTATTAAGTCGCCGCCGTTCACTACTTTGTATATTGTAAGTCACGGTCAATGCCCGAATTCTGAATTGAGATTATTTGCGGAAAGTCCAATACATGGTATGCGGAATGAAAGATACACATTTTTTATTATATTCAATACTTCAGAAATAGTTTTACCTTTTCGTCACTTTAAACAGCTTCTTGACTACGGAAAAAAGCTTTTTATATTCACTTAAATAAGGCAACTCCTTTCTCGCTCTTATTTGTTTCGACTGAGTTCACTGTTATTCACAAAACAATGCTGTTTCCACTGAGGTTTCTTTTCAAATGTTTTTCTAAACGTGCCAAAAGATCTAAAAATATACACCCAATCACATATTTAATGTTCGTATGCATAAGAACGTATAAACATACGTGTTTGCTCATATTCGGACTGGGTTTAAAAAAAAATTCGATTCTGTGAATGAATAACGTCATACAATACAAACTTTATAAATTTGTCTCAAATGGTAGAAATTGTCAAGCGTTTACCGCTTAAATTGCATTGGAATATAAACATGACATTTACTTACATTTCCAGATGGTGGCACATCCTTATGCTCTGCCATTGAATTTTATGAATTCACAAAAGCAAAAATACTGAAGAATTTTGCTATAATTTAATTATTCAATACGAATTAAGTTTTTGCTCAATAATAATCGGAAATTGTTCACAAAAACAGCACCGACAAAACTCTTGTAAGCTAACTGATTTCACTTTCAGAACTGTAATGTCGTTCATTCACTGTCTCACATAGGACTGATTTCACTTTCTCTTTGTTTGTGACATGAAACCTTATATGGAAACCAAATGACGTAATCGTCTACTATGCGCAGAGCTCTGCGGCCTGTATTGCTGAGATCTAGTATTGATATTAGTCGACGTGCTTTGACTAGTAAGCGGATAACTTTTCAATACGGAAGCGGCTTCGAAGGCATACATTTTTTATCCGATGCTATCACGCAGCTATGACAATAGCTGCGGTCCTCGATGAGCCATTTACGCGTAGCAAGCAAAAAGCTTGCGGATCAGATACACAAGTATACCCAAAAATAAACTACGAAAAAATGAATATAAATGATGATAGGTCATGCAAAAGAAAACATATTCAATTGTATAAGTGATATCAATTTAATTGAGAGAAAGAACACAAATAAGAAACAAAATCGGACGGTTTTTTGTTTGAATCAATCTCGGTGTATTTGGCTGAATTCTTATTAACTAACTACTTGTCATCATTTTTACTTAACAAAATGTATTTTTTACACTACATTACGATAACATTGGATGCCGGTCCATTCGAACGTCTGGAAAATCAAGTCACTGAACCGACAAAGCATAGAATTCGTTGAATTCAAATCATGATTCAAATCGACAAAAGATCAGCGACACAAAGTGACAAAATCATTCACCAGAAATAACTCTGTTAATAAAGCAAAGATTAAAAGTGTTTGTCGTAATCGCGCTTGGATCCTTTTGTAATAAGGAAATATGTCGCAATAAAAACGATGATACACACAGTTGTCCAAATTACACATGCATCTGTACATGCATCTTTAAAAAAATAAAAAATGAACATTTATTTTATTTCAAAAGAATTGTCGGAAATTAGTGAATTATGAATATATTCGCTTACTGTCGTCTGATGTTGTATCGGTTTGTGGCGGGACCGGAGTTTGGGTTACTATCGGCGTAAATGAATATTGAACTGGAACTGATGTTACAACCTAATAGCAAAACAATCACGTGGAAATTTAGTCAATCATTATGATACTTCTGCGTATTATATTTGGGTCTTCATATCTTCTTCATTGGATCTTAGAAATGATAGATTTACTCACATTGCCACGTAAATGTTCCAGTGCATACGATTGATTTCGATTTATTATGACTTCGTTTTGAACATTGTGATTATTTAACATGAAATTGGAAGAAATCACGGGGGACGGCAGTCCCCCAAGTGACGCAATACCCCTATACATATGAAATATGTATATTTTGCGTCACTCTATATATAC